GATTCGGTTAAATTGGCAAAGTATGTGTAGTTTTTTATGCTAATGGATATTCCGAGACGATATTTTGAAAAAATAAATCTTTTTGTAGATAATTCAAAAAAGTAACCATTTACTAAGCTATTTCGGTTGAAAAAAATGCGCTTTATCTGTACAAGAGTTGTGTAATTTATAATTGTTTAGATTTTTTTTTGTTAATTTTGAAAAATGTCGTTTCTTCCAAGCACCATATCTCGGTAACGAATTCACTTACAATCATGTTTGAATATTAATGCTCTACAAAAAAGTACATAGATGCTTTTTTTGTCGTATGATGTAAGAGAAAAAGAGAAAAAAACCGGAAAGTAAAAAAATTTGCAAGTTTTCCCCCTCCTTCTCTTTTGGCACAGGGTCATCAAAGTACAAAACTTCAGAAAATGTTAAATAACCATCACTAAACAACACCAAAGTTTCAAACCTTCCGACCATTATCTATCTGAAGCTGTCGATTGAACAAACATTTGAAAATTCAAAGACAGTGAAAAAAATTGAAACGCTACAATCTTTTAAACAAATTTCACATTTCGCAAGTGAAAACAACCGGATCACTTTTGTTGCATTTTTTTTAAATTTCGAATTTTTTTGTATTTATGGTTTTAATACAGAATGCATTTAAGGAACGTGCACATAACGATCTGATGAAATTAACCGAGTTTATGTATGACTCAACTATTTTTCCAAACCAACGGCAAATCCTTACTCAACATAGATTCAAAATATCTGTCTATACTGCTGCCAAGAGTGCCAAGAAATGGTATTCGGGTGCATACAGCACAAAAATACACTTTCTCTTCAGTTTTTCCCAGTTGATGATGGCAACTTTGCTGACGAAACACTTTATTGTTATGTAGGTAAATTTTTCTGGGCCCGATTAGCCCATTGTTTACTTTATCGTTACCGAATGTATAGTCAAAACGATAAGTGCTTCCTTTATAGTTTTCCAACTTCCTTTTCCTGTAGATACACGAAATTTTCTTCAATCTTAATAAGCAAATTTGTGCAACAACGCCAACTTTATAAAATTGTGGTGTACATACACACGAAAAGTGTATTTACAGTTGCAATTCGGTGTACTGTTTATACGATTTTTTTACTCTTTAAGTGGAATTTCCTCATTACACCCTTGTTGTAAAGAATCTAACCGCGCCGTTCAAATTTGTGAACGCCGTAAAACTGTACAGATTTTATAGATTTTAACATCAAATTTTATGTTAACCTTTAAACCCTTTACTATACAGAGGTAGACGAATGGAAAGCCATAACGCCGCTTATTTGTACACGATATCAATCGAACATTATTGGGTTTAGCTTAAAACCGCGTAACGGCGATTTTGATATGCCGCATCGGTAACTAACCTCCCCTAAAATTGGCGCGGGTATATTTTTGGAATTTCATTTGCCTATACACAATTAGCGTACGCGATAAAATAAATGAGGCAATCGGAAAATAATCTCGGTAGAAAATCGAAGCTCAAGTCATTTCGTGTTTGACTTTTTCAGGCATTCGTGACGGTTCAGCGGGTATAATCTGTATCGGCCAACGTATAACACAAAAACTGAAGACGATTTTTTTGGTTTGTTTGCTACAGTGCCACTAGAAAATGAGTTTGGCGTTTTATTTCATCGCACGCAATATTTTCGGAAAGCGGGTTTTCATTTATCAATTTTATTTACAAGTGACGTCACTCTGACCCTTAAATTTTATTTGCACAAATAAAGGACCACCGCGGCGTTACATTTTTTAAATTAATTTTTCCTATACAGATCGGTGTTGCTAATTACATTATTTGAGATCCACCTTGAAGCCATACAAATTGGTCGTTAATGAAATTTTGAGCGAAGCCCCCCTAATAAAGGCGTGTTAAAACATCGAAAAGCTATAACACCGGTGGTATTCCCGGCCGATTGTGTGATAACGGAAACTAATCCATAAAGTTGGAAAAACTTTATATTTCACGTAATAAAATGCGGAGTAGGTGGTTAAGTTTTAAAGCGGTTCTTTTTCACGTAAACCCGCAGCGGCAATTTCCGTCTTAAGCGTTAATTAAATTCATAAATTAGTGCAGAGCTGGAAAATTTTATAGTTTTGACACGTCATTATACGGCCATTTCGGATCTGTCAGATTATAGCATAGGTAATGTTGAGCTTTTGTAATGCATCAGCGTATAGGTGACACAAATAGGTCTCCAAACACGGCTCATCGTTCACTATACCGCATATTAGTCATTGGGGAACAATATCGAACTAACATGGGAACCGTGACCCAAACAACACTATGTTTCATAATTTTCTTTTCTACATTCCACGTCACACGACCACTATTAATTTCCCCTCAATGTAAACAGAAATTCTCATTTTCATTTTAATTCGATTCCACGCAAACTACGCATGGGGGGTTCATTTGTAAATTCCATTAACAATACTTTTCTCTATCGTTGATTAATGATTATTTACTGGGAAGCCGTGTCGGAACTTAAGGTATCGCTCTATATAAAAGTACTTTATCTTAATTAGGGGTTTGCAATCAAATTGCGAGGAATCAAAACGACTATCCTCATTTTACCCTAAAATGGTAGTACGTAGGCGTTAAGGCTTAGGGGTCATACGTTTTAAAAAATTGTATCTAATCTCACTGTCAAAAGTTCAGGTCATTTGTCACAGACTATTCAGGAATTAAACAGCTGTATTTTTCGGGTTTTCTACGGTGTAAAGTCAGCGTTGAAATATGGTTAAAAAGTCCCATTTTGTGCTAATTGAGCAAAAACCATTTACTCATCATGTTAATAGCTACTAGATGGCATTTCACATTTCCATTTTTTTGTAGTGAATTTATTTTTTAAATGGACAATTGCTTAGAAGTGTAGAGAATCAATTGATTCTTACCAAATCGCATCTGATCTGCACTAACACTTTGTAGAACATAGGTTTCATTTGTTGCACAGGATAAACCTAATTGAATCAAGAATTTAGAGGTTCTTAAAACCTTATCGAGATCTCATAAGAAGCGAATTTCTAATGCCCCACGCTCTCCATAAACCATCAACCCATAAAATTTTTCAGCTCTTCCAAATATTGTAAAAAATCCCATTTAATTAACCCATCAGTGGCACAAATAGAGATAGAAGGGTGGGGAGGGAGGCATAAGTCCCAGGATAAGGATCTCTTTTACGACAGGGAGAGATTACCATGGATCAATGCTAACCCCGAGACCGCAGTGGTCACCTCTGTGGTACTAATTTATTTGAAGACTGGAAAAAAATCCCGTTGGGTTCCATTTATTATTTCAAATATGAGTTTTCTTTTAAAGTAGATCAGGAAACTTACACAGAACGAGGAACCTAGCTTATCTCCAACGAGAGAAAGTACGTCCAATGGCATTTTTAAATATTTTCCAGTTTTTCAATCGCCACCCAAATTTTCCACCCCCACAAATAGTTTTGTAATTTCAATATCATTTACTTAGTTTAACTGACTGGTTGATTTCAGAAGGTCAGCATGCGTTAGAGCAAGTAGCATCAATGTGAGTCGGCTCGCATGGGAGAAAGGGCATGCTGGTTTGAAGGTAATGAGAAAGCCGATGAGTTACCTCGACTGACCTCAAAAAAGTTTTTTTTTTATGGTCCAGAGCGGACTTTCCCCTAACATCTTGTAGAGGATGACACACACACACACACACACACACACACACACACACAAACGATTAGATGGCACACCACATACTCAGACCCGCTCTAATAAAACTGAGACAGTCCATGTTGGGGCTGGCCGCTTTACGATAGACGTGGCGAAGGTGGAAAATCTTCGGAGTGTTTTGGTGTTGATCATATAAAATTGTTCAATTAATATAGACCAGGTTACCAGCTCTAAAATAATTGATATCGCACAACTATTTTGTCAGTTTTTACTCTGTACGAATAAAAAATTAAACTTTTCATCCCACTGGGAAATAGGTTTTTTTCCAAAATTGTTAATATCTCGTAAATGGCTCAATTGTACGGACCCAAATTTTTTACCTTATTTTGTCATACAAAATGGTATGTTTCCTCCAAATTATAATACTTGTGTTACAAATTGCAAAATATGTACCATTTTCCCCCCCCTGTCAACCTCTGGGACTTCGGGCATGGTAAAATTCAGCTGTTATTAAGTAATAAGTCTACATGTCTCAAAAATTAAGCAAAGTGAAGCACCGACATTGAAAAAGTGTGGCGGGGAATGCTACTTATTAGGGGTATTTCGCTGGTGATTATACAAAATATGTATCATCACAGAATTTCAAAAAATCTCGTAAGGCATCTCCTCAAGACCATTATAGGCTTTTAAACGCTTAGAAACTCGTTAATTCAGAA